GATTTTAAATCGGTATAGAATGGTACAACTGGAAATTATTGATCAAGTTGTGATGTCATATGGTGGCTTGAGGGGTGCTGTTGCCTTTGCTTTAGTTGCTTTATTAGACGGAGAACGGGTGAAAGCAAAAAATTTATTTGTCAGCACAACAATAATTGTTGTGTATTTTACCGTGATCTTTCAGGTAAGTTGTATAAACAAACTGGCTTTCATGGAAATTTACCCACTTTATATGGCAAAGAAGTGTTCACATTTGTTGGCAATGTGCAGCAAATAATTGTCACTAGTAACACTGTGCTGCGTACCAAAACTCATAAAGTAAATATTTAACATTTCTCAGTTCTCTTAAAGCACCGTTGTGAATTCAGTGAGTCCATCAAAATAACTAAACAGTCCAACACAAATATGCTTCTTCTGCAACACCAGTTTTTCAAGATACCTTGAAAAAGTCAGAAATGACGAAATATGTTGGGTTGTGAACAGGAAGAGAGATTGACGTTAGTAATGAGACCGGAACTGACATCATACTGGAGGCCGAATGCGGTGGTGAGAGCCTAATGGCGATCCTTTGTTTGGCATTATCTCTGTGTGTTGGCGATCGAGCTATACAAACAATAGTGATGTGTCTAAATGCAAGAAAGTTTTTTAGTGAGATTTTCTAGTGGAATAAATATTTTATTGGGATTTTATTGCACTGTGGAGTGTTTCTCTTTTTATATGATCCCTGGTCATTTACCTTTGTTAGGGAGTTGAGCGGAGTTGGAGCAGAACACATTGAGAAAAAGAGAGAGCGTATGGATCTCTGCTTTGAGCTTTTATTGCCAATCTGAAAAAGGCCAAAAGGCCAGGCATTAAACTGTCTTACTGATATTGAGAGAAGGAATCTGTGCATGTGATATCAAGACTGGTGTGGTGGGAGAAGCATATTTGTGTTGGACCTTTTATTTATATTAATGGACTCCCTAAGTTCACAAGGGTGCTTTAGGAGAACTGTTTGTTTAATATTTATTTTAGGAGTTTGGGTACATATCACAGCACTACTAGTGACTATTATGTGTTGCACTTTTTAATATAAGTAGGGGGTATATAGTGGCAGCAGTGAAATAATACACTATTTTATATTTATATATTTTAATTTTTCATCTCTATATAATTTTTTTTATTTTTTGTACACATTTGATTATTACACTTTTTGGTTTATCTTTATTTTTAATAAGTTTATTTTTTTAACAGCGCAGAGTTGGAGGTTGTAGAAAGATTTGTTGAAAATGACCTCCCGTGTGATTGTTTGCTTGTTAGCCATTTGGTATGGCCCATTACATATTCCAGCCTAAATGTTTTGGGTTAGATTAGAAATTAGAAATCAGTGCCCACTAGTATCTTTTAATGTAGAACTAGAAAAAGAATGCCCATTCTAGATTAATATTGAAGATATTAAAAATAATGCTAAAGTGTTTGGGAAAGATGGTGGGGAAGAGAAGGCTATGACCAAGCACAAAATCTACAGACAGGGCATGTTAGACATGTGAAAAGGGTGGGAAGATAGAGCACACGTTTTTAATAACTTATGGTGTGGTGATAGGTTCTCTTTAGGGTGACATCAGGGGGTTTATTTACTAAAGCTGGAGAGTCCAAAATCAGACTCCCTTCTGCATAGAAACCAATCAGCTTCTAACCTCAGCTTGTTCAATGAAGCTTTGGCAATGAAACCTGGAAGCTGATTGGTTTCTATGCAGAAGGCAGTCTGATTTTGGACTCTCCAGCTTTAGTAAATAAACCCCCAGATGTCCATTAGACCCTTGTTACTGATCTGGCTCTGAGCTGACTTGGAGCACCAGTACCCTGAGTTTAGGAACCCAAAAGTGCCATGTATTAAAAGTGTGATCTGAGTACTCAGTCTGTGTGTTATGAATGGATATGCAGTGCCATCTGAGTACTGTGACTGAATATGCAGCATTTCTGTTGTGAATAAATGTTTGTGTTCTGTGTGTGTATTTTCTGGGGAGCGCAGGGTGACAACAGTGCTATAGAGACCAATGAATACACTACCACTCATTGGATAAAATGTAGATTGTGATGTCGTCCACCCACCCATGCACCTTAACCAATCAAAGGAAGCCTTATATCAATTCACAAAAATACAAGCCACCTATGAATGGCTAGAGGATACCTTGTCGGGGGGGGGGGGGGGGGTTACTCCTAGCAAAACACCCTTTCTGTATTTTGATGAAGACACAGGCTTCTCCCACACATCTCTGGCCAGGCAGATGTTGGTAAGGAGAGGGGGAGGGGAAATTATCAAATCTGGAAGTCCCAGGTATCCAGTAGAATTTGAAAAGTCTATAAAATACCACACGTTTAAACAAGCCCTGTTCAAAAGCCTAAAAACATGTCAGTGTAAATCCATTGTCAATCAAAGTCATCCCAAGATGTAGATCCACAGTAATCATGATTAATGATGATCCACACAACCCACCAAAGCAAAACCTGCTGACCCACAGACATGTTGGCTTCCAATAGCCACTTCAAGATGTTTGACATTTTCCTACCTATTAGCAAAATGTAAACAAAGGGGCAGGATAACCTCATTGACTAAATATGGCGATGACAATATTTGGTTAGTAATATCACTCAAGATACCGTGTCCCCTTATTTACATTCAGCTGATGGGCTAGGAAATATCATCCATGGGAAGGATTCTGTCAAGAGCATGTGTTTTGTTTTGGTGGGTTGTCAGGATAGTTCATCATCATTGTCATTTATCTACATCACAATAGATTTACACTGTGGGATTTTTTTTCTTTTCTTTTTTAATGAAAGGACTTTAATTTACATGGGAGTGGCTGTTATCTGGGGGTCCTCCCCTTTTTTTTTTTTTTTTTTAAAGGGGCTTCCAGATTCTGCTAAGCTCTCCTCAACAAGACCCCCACATGTACTGGGCCAGGGATGTAAGTAAGAGGCCCTTGTCCTCATCTTCATCTTCTTGTTGAGAGCATGTGGCCTGACACATATTTTGGAGGAAACCCCAGGATGTTTTTTTTTTCTTGTGTGGGATCCCCCTTTGTTTGACATTTTCTGTTGTTCGGATGTGGGCGGCTAGCCCACACAGCATCCTTGGTTGCTAGGAGGCAGGAGGATACCTGTGGCCCACACAGCCAGGAGTTGTCATTTTGTGGTGTTAGTAATAGTAAAGTAAAATTAGTGCCACTAAACGAATGCCTTCCAGCTGTAGGTGGAGATTCACTTCAGCAGGCAAATGAAGCACCTATTTAGTGTGCATGTTTACTGAACTGCAAACCCTGGTCAGCTGTGATCATGAACTTCTTTCCTACTGGCTTCACCTGAAAATGAATATATGAATAAATAATTTAATTGTGCTCCTCCAGACTTGAAAATTTGCAATGCCAGGACAACTCCTGGCGCTCTTGTCCCCCTGGTCCCTAGACTCCCGCTGTTTCAACCTCAGTGGGGTCAGGGCTAGGGACACAAGTGAGGCTGACCTCGTCAACTCAGTCTCCTATCAGGTACATGATAGGTTTTCAGAGATCGCCTAAAAGTGGACAGAGTAGGCGATAGTCTGATAAATTGGGGTAGAGTGTTCCAGAGGATGGGGGAAGCTCTGGAGAAGTCCTGGAGACGAGCATGGGAGGAGGAGACAAGGGAGCTAGAGAGCAGGAAATCCTGTGACGAGCGGAGAATACGGTTTGGGTTATATATGTAGACAAGATTGGTGATGTAATTTGGGGCAGAGTTATAAATGGCTTTATATGTTATTGTTAATGTTTTGAATTTTATCCGTTGGGCAATGGGAAGCCAGTGGAGGGTTTGGCAGAGAGGGGTGGCAGATATGGAATGGTTAGTAAGGTGGATGAGTCTGGCAGCAGCATTCATGATAGACTGAAGAGGGGATTGCTTGTGATGAGTTAGGCCAATGAGGAAGGAGTTACAATAGTCAAGGCGAGAGATAACCAGGGAGTGAATAAGTTGCTTAGAAGTTTCAGAGGTGAAGAATGGGCATATCTTGGAGATGTTGCGGAGGTGAAGTCTACAAGATTTGGACAGTGATTGGATTTGGGACTGGAAGGACAGATGGGAGTCTAGGATTACACCTAGCACCCTGGCATGAGGGGAGGAACTGATGGTTGTGTTATTGATCTTGATGGAGAAGTCAGGGGAGGGGGCATGGGCTGGAAGGAATACTAAGAGCTCAGTTTTGGAAAGACCAGCTCCGTGATGTCAGACTCCAGTGGCAACCTACGAAGCTCTGGAGAACTTCATGCCCAAGAGGGTTAAGGCAGTGCTGGAAAATAATGGTGGCCACACAAAATATTGACACTTTGGGCCCAATTTGGACATTTTCACTTAGGAGAATACTCACTTTTGTTGCCAGCAGTTTAGACATTAATGGCTGTGTGTTGAGTTATTTTGAGGGGACAGCAAATTTACACTGTTATACAAGCTGTACACTCATTTCTTCACATTGTAGCAAAGTGTAATTTCTTCAGTGTTGTCACATGAAAAGATATAATAAAATACTTACAAAATTGTGAGGGGTGTACTCACTTCTGTTAGATACTGTGTGTGTATATATATATATATATATATATATATATATATATATATATATAGTGGGACCTCGCTTCAAATGGTAGAGCTTTTGTAACGCACACAGCGACTAGCTTGCTTTTTTGGAGGGTCGTTCAGCCCACTTTTATTTAAATGACAGTTCAATAACATAAGAGGTTTCCCACGCAGGGGTATCTATTATCAATATAAATGAAAAGATTCAGTCTCCTGGCTCTCTCAGATATAAACAATCTTCCTCTGGTCTTTCTCTTCAGGCTTACCCCTGTCTCCTGCAGACTCCTTCAAAAATGGCTCTTGCACACAGCTAGCCACTAGCACACAGCTACTCCCGAGCAGCCCCTTGCTGCTTTTGGCTTCCACCTCTCCTAGGTGAAGCCCACCTGACTTCAAGGCAGTGACCTCCTGTCTACCAGGGTGGAGCCCTCCTGACTCCTGTCTGCCGGGGTGGAGCCCTCCTGACTCCTGTCTGCCGGGGTGGAGCCCAGAATCCTGGTCCTGACTCTACAAAAGAGCCATGCACACCTGAGCAATCAGTATCCTGGCCATTCCCAAAACCTGGTCCCAGGATTGGAGATTTCATCCCTCTCAAATCGCTTTGAAATCTCCAAGTCCCAAAATGGACCTTACAAACAAATGAGGAAAGTGAAAAGCCACTTTCCTCTGTATCAAACACCTACCCTGGAGCCCCTCAACCTGCCTTGTTGAGAATCCTGGGTGAAATAACCTTTCAACGTTGTGACAGATTGCCACACTGTCACATACCCCCCCCCCCCCTTTGTTTGGACCCCGCAGGGGGCAGAACACACAACTTACATCTTCTGGCACCTCTGTGCCAGCTCTCACTTACAGGGGTCCAATCTGGTCTGACCATAGGGGAACTCTACCCAATGACTCCTTTGGTGTCTCTCCCCAAGCCCCATTGTCACTCTGCTATGGGCTCTAATCAGACCTTCCCTTCTCTTTTTCCAGGTGCACTTCCATAAACACTTTCTCTCTTGAAATCTTAACGGGGTCCCCCTGGCCTTTCTATCGACCTTTCTGCCTCTTTGCTTCAGGTTCCAAGGTTTCCTAATACCACTCTCAGTATTACTGTCCCAAGGCTGTAGGGGACCTATTTCTACTGTACTTGGACCACCCCTCTTATTTCTGGTACCTTTGGATATTAAACCTGCATGACTCATCACCACAGCATTCAGTTTACCATGAACAGATATATTCCAGTCAATATTACACCTCTCAATATCTTTTCCAGCATTTGTTAGGACAGTGTCTGCAGAGGGCACACACACCATAGGGCAGCCATCACCCACGGGAACCACACAAGATGCCACTTCACCTGGTGTCATGTACTCTGCAGCTGGCTGTCCCACCATTTTACCTTTTCCTGCACCACTTGGATCTGTATCCAAATCCTGAACAGATGAGCTCTCTTCTGATCCCTTTTGCCAGTTTTCACATACCATTTGTCCCTGTATTTCAGGTGTCTCATCAGACCTGCTACATAAACCTCTTTTTGGCCCAATGACCCTGATTTCTTTATGCACATCCGTTTGAGCCCTGGCCAGGATCTCTGTTGTTCTCTGGTCCATGCTCGGCCCTTCCATCTCATGTGGTTTGTCCACTGGTGCAGTAAACAACTGACAACTGACCAGCACCATCCTGGACCATAGCAGCAGAAATGCTTCCCACCTGGCTGTTAGGAGGTGAAACCTTTTTTGACTCATTTTTCATTTCTCCAAAACCTCTCTCATATATCACATTTACAGGTAATCCAGCGGCATACCCTGATACAACTTTTAACACCATCAACAAATTCAGAAATAAACCACTTTCTTGTTCACATTTGATCTATACAGCCAGCCATTCGGTGCTCCACCTAGTGGTACTCCGCAGTACCAGACCATCTGACTGTGGAGGAGACACCACAGTATACATTGGTTGTACATTCCAAAGTTCAAGCATCTCCTTTAATACTTTGGTTACAACCCAACCACTTGACTCTAGACCCAAGACCTTCCTGATGATATTTAGGACACTCAGAATGCTGAGAGACTCACCTGCTGAGACTTGAGAAGTTGAAACTTTTAAAGGGACCTCCTCCCAACTGGAGGTAACGACAGCTTGGTGCTCCACCAGAGCGCTGCCAGGTGCTGGGCTCACTCTCAACATCTCAGACTCAGCATCCATAAGCTGACCCCTGATCATTCCCAGTGACAACCTCATTTTGACACTCCATGCCAACATCACATTTGTGGGTCACAGACAAAGTCTCTGCTGTATGCACACTCTTATCTATAGGCTGTTTTGTAGACCCTCCTGCTGGCACAGCAGAAACAGTGTCCACCTTATTTTTTTGCATAAAAGCCTCATCTATCAATAAGATTAGCCTTTTACCCCAACTATCCCAATCCATTGTATATGTGCTCCATTCGCCAGTGCTCCTCAGCACCGATCCATCCGCCCAAGAAGACACATAAGAATAGACGGGCTTAGTTGCAGATCCATTGCACAAATCACTCTGGATCACGTCTGACTTGGGTAACACCTGTTTTCCAACTGCAGGTTGCAATACCTCACATCCACCACTTTGCTCTGGTGGTGCTTCCTGAATTACCCACACATTTGCATTTTTGCCAGGCTGTATTAACCCGCTGTTTACCTGAACACTTTCAATATTATCAGACTGCACCCACACACTCCTATGACAAGGTGCAGTTCCACTCTGCTCCACCAGAGTGACATCGCAGTTGTCCAGGGCACCCTCCGGCTCCAATACACGGAGTTCACTGGAGATGTCTAAAGACAGCTGTGCCGTCTTACCACCAGCTGCTATGGGAAATAACCCATCTTTAATTATAGCTTTTGCACTGCAAGAGCTCAGGGTTTTCCCAACAGCAGTACATTTCTCATCACCAACATTGTCAGCATTTTTAGCTCTTGTGGGCTGTACTAGCCCACTACCAGCCTGTGATTGGCACACATTAGTGACATCATTTTATTTTTGAGAACCACCACCAGCAAGGCTCCCACTTTTCATCCATTACACATCTGCATCAGAGGCTGGTCATTAGCTCTGAGGAAAGGGATTCGTCCCCAAAACGCATCAGCCATTTGACCGCACTGACAGTGAGGACACCTTGCCTGCCGTTGTGGCCATCGTCATTTTTCTATGCTTTTTAGATACATGCTTCGTTTGTGTGTGCGCCACCTGTTTTCTCTTTATCCAGTGGCTGATTTCCCCGTCTGAGGAGGGCCGCACCCCCGAAGCATTTCCTTTGGTTTTCGCTGTCCTGATACCCTTGGCTTCCCTTTTGGCTGTGCATATCTTGAGGCGCTGGAGAGTACATACGATATCCGGTTCGGTTGTTTTCCCAAACAGCAGTACATTTCTCATCACCAACATTATCAGCATTTTTAGCTCTTGTGGGCTGTACTAGCCCACTACCAGCCTGTGGCTGGCACACATTAGTGACATCACTTTCTTTTTGAGAACCATGCACAGGTTTTACTTTAACCCCTACCTCACCGCTGTACAAGGCACTGCACAGGGAAAAGTCACTCTCAAAAGCACATTCAGTGGCCCAACTAACTGGGGTCACTCCTACATCAGAATGGACAGTCTTATAACTAGTCCTTCTCAACATGACATTAGCAGTCCCAGCCATGATTTTATCACACACAGTCTTACCCACCACAGTAGTAGGTGTCGCCATCTTCATTTCAAATGCGTCGTCTCATAAATGCATCCTCAACTGCACTGTCCTTGGCAACTTTTCCCTTGGTCCAAGGTGAAGCAACAGACGCCCTCATGAACTCCATGAACTCTCTGGCACCCCCTGCAGGCCCAACAGGTACTTCCTCCCTGTTACCAGAGGTGGCTGCCAACATTTTAAAACAAGAATCTGGGCTTGCAGTTGAAGACATTTGCCCAGTATCAGCGGTATTCCAGAGTCTGGGACAGTAAAAGATCCCATGCCCCCACTGACCACATTCCAGGCAAGGTACATTTCCACTCTTATCTTTATTGGGATACTGAGCCACATCTCCAATGCAGCTCCTCCTTCCAGGCAATATTTTTTCTCTGGTCGCCATGGGAGATTGCACTCTCCAAGCAGAACTTTGGTGGCTCTTTCCAACATCCTGTATTGGCTCCTCTTGATGCCACTTGCCATGATCCTTGTATGACATAGCCCCCCCGTACACAGACAGCCCGACTGGCCTCCTCTGTGTTGCTATGGGCAATCACTCTCGGTCCTGGCCTCTTGTCAGCCCCTCTCCTTGCACATAGCATGGGCTTCTCTCTGCTGGACCAACTCTCAAGCCATGACACATTCACATTTTTCACAACAGCTACTGGTTTAACCAATAGCCACCCGGCCAATAGCTGTTTGGCGGCCAGCAAAATGCTGTAGATTTCCGGGTGGACGCCATATGGCGTCCTCCCGGGCATGCGCAGTTTTCGTGCTTGCAGAGCCGCGCAGCGGCACGATCTATCACTGGCCATGTACCTCGGACACGGCCAATGACAGATCTGAGTACCGGCCCCCGTTACCGGTACCATGTGACCTGCTGTGACCAATCACAGCAGGTCACATGACAGTTGTATACAATGGATGGCTTCATTCATGCCATCCATTGTATTTTAGTGTCTAGCTGTGACTGGTCACAGCAATCACATGCACATGTCATATGATTAGCTGTGGCCAAATCACAGCTAAGCACAAAAAAAAAAAAAAAAAACCCTGAATGAATCGATGTCATTCACGTAAATGCTTGCTTATAGCAAAGTAATTTTTTGCTATGAGCAAATTGTGTAACAAAAAATACTGATCACTTCCCCAAAGTAGTACTATGTTACTATGGTAACATTGTACTATTTTGGACATAGTGAAATATGAAAAAAAAGAAAAAGAAAAAAAATGTAATAAAAAATTAAAAAAAAATAAAAATATATATTTTTTTTTTCATACTGTCACCAGTCAGTGTCCCTGATCACCGCCATGCCAGGTATATGATGACACTGTACTGCACTGGTGACAGTATTAAAAAAAAAAAAAAAAAAAAAACTGAAAATATTTTTTTTTTTTTAATTTTTCCATTTTCCGAAAAATGATGACAAAAAAAAAATACAACTTCAAAAAACTCGCCATGCCTCTTATGAAGTACGTCAAACTGTCTACTTTGTAAAAAGGGGTCATTTGGGGGATAGCTGTACTGTTCTTACATTCTTGGACCTCAAGAAATTAGATGATTGGCCGTCAGTACTTCAGGATTGATCAATATTCAGATCTATACCATAGTTTGTGAACTCTATAACTTTCCTACAAACTAAATAATACATCCTAATTTGGGTTATTTTCACCAAAGACATGTAGCAGAATACATCTTGGCCTAAATTTATGAAGAGCAATTATTTATTTGCAAACTTTTATAACAGAAACAAAGAAAAACATTTTTTTTTTTCAAAATTTTCAGTCTTTTTTTGATTAAATACCACCAAAAGAAAGCTCTAGTTGCGTAAAGAAAATTATAAAATTTTAGCTTTGGTACAATGTTGTATGACCGCGCAATTGTCATTCAAAGTGGGAGAGCGCTGAAACCTGAAAAATGGCCTGGGCAGGAAGGGGGTAAAAGTGCCCGGTATGGAAGTGGCTAACTACAGCAGCGTTGCCATGGGTGACAAAACCCCTCTCCCAGGTACGGACATCCTGCAGCTCTCTCCTTGCACTGAAGGTTGGCTTGCTTTCCTCTGTAGGTTGGTTCAATGCTGCCAGGTGCTGCTTGCACCAGTCCACAGCAGATTCACCCACATTTAAATTTCCCGGCTTGGCTGGGGCATACGGTATATAACACCCTAGCCACAGGGCTCTATCTCTCGCTTCAGCAAACATTGCCTCCTTTTTCTGTTTTGACCGCCCCATCTTTGCAGTCACGCACACAGCAGTGTGTTACACAGTTCAGCAACACCGTGGAACACTGTCTCTTTAAGGCCAAGTCCTTTTCTCTAGCAGGTTCTCCTCACCTGCACACAGATAGTGCAGACTTATGCACCAAACACAGTTCATATAACAAATGAACTTACTTCATCGCAGGGATCTCCCATATGTGGGACCTCGCTTCAAATGGTAGAGCTTTTGTAACGCACACAGCAACTCGCTTGCTTTTTTTAAGGGCCATTTCAGCCCACTTTTATTTAAATGACAGTTCAGTAACATAAGAGGTTTCCCACGCAGGGGTATCTATCATCAATATAAACAAGAAGATTCAGCCTCCTGGCTCTCAGATATAAACAATCTTCCTCTGGCCTTTCTCTTCAGGCTTATGTCTGTCTCCTGCAGACAACTTCAAAAATGGCTCTCGCACACAGCTAGCCACTAGCACACAGCTACTCCTGAGCAGCCCCTTGCAGCTTTTGACTTCCACCTCTCCTAGGTGAAGCCCACCTGACTTCAAGGCAGTGACCTCCTGTCTGCCAGGGTGGAGCCCAGAACCCTGGTCCTGACTCTACAAAAGAGCCATGCACACCTGAGCAATCAGTATCCTGGCCATTCCCAAAACCTGGTCCCAGGATTGGAGATTTCATCCCTCCCAAATCGCTTTGAAATCTCCAGGCTCCAGGTCCCAAAATGGACCTTACAAACAAATGAGGAAAGTGAAAAGCCACTTTCCTCTCTATCAAACACTTACCCCTGGATATACACACACACACTGCTCAAAAAGAGTATAGCATCAAGTCAATTAGACTCCCTGGGATATTGACCTGGTCAGTTAAGTAGCAAAGGGGTTGTTAATCAGTTTCAGCTGCTTTGGTGTTAATGAAATTGACAACAGGAGCACTAGATGGGCAACAATGAGACGGCCCCCAAAACAGGAATGGTTTTACGGGTGGAGGCAACTGACATTTTTTTTCCTACTTATCTTTTATTCTTATCTTCTTTTTTTACTATTTTGCATTTGGCTAGGGCCAGTGTCACTACTGGTAGCATGAGGCGAAACCTGGACCCTACAGAGGTTGCACAGGCAGCCCAACTCCTCCCGGGTGGCACATCAATAAGGTTTGCTGTGTCTCCCAGCACAGTCTCAAGTGCATGAAGGAGATTCCAGGAGACAGGAACTTACTCTAGGAGAGGTGGACAGGGCCATAGAAGGTCCTTAACCAATCAGCAGGACCTGTATCTGCTCCTTTGTGCAAGGAAGAACAGGATGAGCACTGCCAGAGCCCTACAAAATGACCTCCAGCAGGCCACTGGTGTGAATGTCTGTCTCTGACCAAACAATCAGAAACAGACTTCATAAGGGTGGCCTGAGGGCCTGACATCCTCTAGTGGGCCCTGTGCTCACTGCCCCACACCATAGAGCTCGATTAGCATTTGTCATTGAACACCAGCATTGGCAGGTCTGCCACTGTACCCAGTTTTTCACAGATGAGGCAGGTTCACCCTGAGCACATGTGACTGACATGAAAGGGTCTGTAGAAATGGGCATTATGCTGCCTAACGTTGTTCAGCATGACCGTTTTTGTGGTAGGTCAGTGTGGTCCTGGGGAGATATTTCCTCCCAGATCTACAGGCTAGACAATGACACCTGACTGCCATTTGGTATCAGGAAGAAATCCTTGGACGCATTGTCAGACCCTACGCTGGTGCAGTGGGTCCTGGGTTCCTCCTGGTACACGACAATGCCCGGCCTCATGTGGCGAGAGTATGCAGGCAGTTCCTGGAGGATGAAGGAATTGATACTATTGAATAGCCCCCATGCTTGCCTGACCTAAATCCAAAAGAACACCCTGGGATATCATGTTTCAGTCCATCCGACGCCGCCAGGTTGCACTGCAGACTGTCCAGGAGCTCCGTGATACCCTGGTCCAGGGAGGAAATATCCCAGGACACCATCCATCATCTCATTAGGAGCATGCCCTTACATTGTCAGGCAAGCATGTGGGGGCCATCAATAGTATCAATTCCTGAGTTTCTCCAATAAAACTGCCTGCATAACACTCGCCAGGGTGTCTTTGAGTCAGTCCTCTGTAGATTGATAATTTTCAATTTCCATCAAATGAGGGGGCATTCTTACAGGAACACATTACCCAGACCCATATAAGTATAGATATCCAGCATGACATTTTTCCCCATTGAGATCTGATGTGTTTTCAAGGTGCTCCTTTATTTTTTTTTGAGCAGTGTACAGTCAAGTCCATAAATATTGGGGACCAGGGTCTAACATTTTTTGCTCTATACACCACCACAATGGATTTGAAATGAAATGAACAAGACATGTGCTTTAACTGCAGACTGTCAGCTTTAATTTGAGGGTATTTACATCCCAGGTAAACGGTGTAGGATTTGCATATGTGCCTCACTTGTTAAGGGACCAAAATAATGGGACAATTGGCTTCTCAGCTGTTCCACAGGTGTGGTCAGGGCTCATTATCCCATTACAATGAGCTGATAAAAGGCAGATAATGTTCTCAAGTGTGCTATCTGCATTTGGAATCTGTTGCTGTCAACTCTCAGATGAGATCCAAAGAGCTGTCACTATCAGTGAAGCAATTCCATCATTAGGCTGAAAAAACAAAAACCCATCAGAGAGATGCAAAAACCGTGGCCAAAAAACTGTTTGGAACGTTCTTAAAACACGGTGAGCTCAGCAACACCAAAAGACCCGGGAGACCATGAAAACAACTTGTGGTGGAACCGAAGAATTCATGGGAAGAAAACACCCTTCACAACAGTTGGGCAAATCTCCGAAGACTCTCCTTAGGTGTCATGTCTCAAAGTCAACATCAAGAGAAGTTCTCAGTGAACAAGGGTTCATGGATGTGGTCTGTCATGTAAACCATTGGTGAGCCTCCAAAAACAGGAAGGCCAGAGTTTGCCAAACAACATCTAAAAAAGCCTTCACAGTTCTGGAACAACATCCTATGGACAGATGAGACCAAGATCAACTTGTAACAGAGTGATGGGAAGAGAAGAGTATGGAGAAGGAAAGGAACTGCTCATGATCCTAAGCATAACACCTCATCAGTGAAGCATGGTGGTGGTACTGTCATGGCGTGGGCATGTATCGCTGCCAATGGAACTGGTTCTCTCGTATTTATTGATGATGTGACTGCTGACAAAAGCAGCAGGATGAATTCTGAAGTGTTTGGGGCAATATTATCTGCTCATATTCAGCCAAATGCTTCAGAACTCACTGGACGCTGCTTCACAGTGCAGATGGACAATGACCCAAAGCATACTGCAAAAGCAACCAAAGAGTTTTTTAAGGGAAAGAAGTGGAATGTTATGCAATGGCAAAGTCAATCACCTGACCTGAATTCGATTGACCATGCATTTCACTTGCTGAAGACAAAACTGAAGGGAAAATGCCCCAAGAACAAGCAGGAACTGAAGACAGTTGCAGTAGAGGGCCTGGCAGAGCATCACCAGGGATGAAACCCAGGGTCTGGTGAAGTCTATGCGTTCTAGACTTAGGCTGTAATTGACTGCAAAGGATTTGCAACCAAGTATTAAAAAGTGAAAGTTTGATTTATGATTATTATTCTGTCCCATTACTTTTGGTCCCTTAACAAGTGGGAGGCACACATGAAAACTGTTGTAATTCCTACACCATTCACCTGATTTGGATGTAAATACCCTCAAAAAAAGCTGACAGTCTGCAGTTAAAGCACATCTTGTTCATTTCATTTAAAATCTATTGTGGTGGTGTATAGAGCCAAACATGTTAGAATTGTGTCGATGTCCCAATATTTATGGACCTGACTGTATATACACACACATACACACGAGGGGGGGGGGGGGAGTAATAATAAGATATAAAGGGGAAGGGAGGTGATTAGGGGTGGTAAATGTCCTGGGGGTAGGAAGGGGTGCAGTATTTTAACTCTTCTCCCTCATAGTCTGTACAGTCCAGCTGTCTAACTAAATTCTATTGTTTTAAACAGGTATACTCTGGGTTGTCATAGGATTCATAGAGTTTTGGCAGTGAAACCAGCAAGCCCAAGTCTAAGTGAATTTAGAAGGGTTGTCCCTTGTGATACTGATTAACTCCACCATTTTGGCTGTCTGTCGTACACGGTGGTGCCATTCTTTAAGTGGTGAAGATATTGAGGTGTCCCATTTGGCAGGGATGCAGCATCTAGCTGTATTTGCAAGGTGCATGGCTAAAGATCCATGGTAGGTGGATTTTGGAAGTGAGGAGTGATGAAGCAGATATTGTGTGGGAGTGAAGTCGAGAGTATAGGAGGTTATCTTAATTTCCTTTCCAGAAGGTTTGCACATTAGAGCATGGCCACCATATGTGCAATAGGGAACCGGAGTCCGATCTGCATCTCCAGAATAGTGGGGAGGTGGAGGGGAAGAATTTGTGAAGCTGTGTAGGTGTTGTCTACTAGCCGGAAAGCAGTTTTATATTGTTTCTTGTGTTGTTACATTTATTGTGCCCTTATGTAGATGGGTTAAGATTCTGTCCCAATCCTCTTTTGCGAGGGAGAATTCTAACTGTTTCTCCCATTTCTGATTCATTTTGTTGGTTTGTGGCGTGTGCTTGGAATAGAGAAGCATGTACATTAAGGATATTACATATTGCAGTGTGTTCCTAGAGTATTTAGCTTCAAGTGGGGTTTGGGGGCGCAAGCAGTCTGATGAAGTTTTGGGGTGATTGAAAAAATGTCGTAATTGCACATAAATCTAGAAAGGAAATTATGGGTGCAGCATTTTGGCCTGTAGCTGTTCATATGGTAAGAGGCATCCCCTATGGAAAAAGTGCTCTGCATGTACTGGTTTATGTGGCCAGATCTTGCCTGGAAGGAATTCAGGATTATGTCGGAGAGCAGTAAGAGGTCCCAGATGGGAAGTCGAAAGCTTTACAAGCCTGTCGAAAGCAATGTAGAGAAGGGCTCACAATTGGGTGTTCCTTACATTCTCGCGGAGTGCGATGGGCAGGTAAGCAGGGAAGTACATTTAAAGGTATTGTCGATCCTGCATTCTCTAGGCAGACCCAGGCCTTTTGTCTTTTTTTATGTATGTGCCAGGCAGCTAGTCTTGTTAAGTGCTAGATAATAATTTATGGATGTATGGGAGGCCTATACTTTTAAGTTTGGGTAATGTCAGTAAAGCGTAGCTAAGTTGAGGGCATTTTCATCCCCATATAAAGAGGGTACAAGCTCTGCGGTAGCTGTAATGAATGCTGAGGGAACCTTAAGAGGGAGTGTCTGCAACACATAATAGGATATGAGGAAGTATGTTAATTTTTATTAACATACTTCCCTTGTGCCATGTTTGAAGATATTAGTGGATATTGCAGAGTAAGGGTAGACCGTTTAGTGTGTATAGATCGGAGGGGCATGTTGGGAATTGAATTCCCAAATACGTTATGGAGTTCCTTTGCCAAATAAAGGGAAATTGTGATTTGCATTTAGTCACTTCTGATGATGTTAGGAAGACATTTAGGGCAAAGGATTTAGAGAAGTTCATTTGCAAACTGGAAAGGAGTTTTGTAGTGAGCAAAATCGCTCAGAATGTTGGGGATGGTGAGCTGTTGATTGGAGAGGAAAAGGAGGATGTCCTCTTCACACTATTTTATAGGTATGTCCGGAGGCTTCCATTTCCTTTGATATTGGGATTGGCTCTCATGAGTCGTAGTAATGGTTCCAATGTGAGAACAAACAAGAATGGAGATAGTGGGCATCCCTGC